AAGATGGAGGCTCTGCTCTCTGAACAGGCCTTATACGTGTGACTTTTAGGGTATACGAAATCAAAATTATCTTAAGAATTAGTAATAGTAGGTTTTTATACCACTATATTCTAAAACCTGAGATTGGACATCAAAGCAGTCAACTTTGTTATTCATCAGAGCAATTCTGATACTTCCTAAAAATAGGAGAAAACTCAACTGAATTAACTCCAGGGTCAAAAACATTAACCTTCCCTAATCAAAAAGGAGACCAATCAAAAACATTACATTGAGTGCTGCAGACCAACTACTCTCAGCAAACAAGTCATTTTTACATAAGCAAAATAGTCACTTCTTCCCCTTCTCACTGATCAAGGCCACACTATTTTCAAATGAATATCTACTGAGAGATCAGTTGTGCATTGGACAAAGTACCATAACTGGGTTAAAAATGAAAACAAAATTTACAGTGAAGAATACTTATGTGCATGGCTTACACACTCCAGCTTCTCGTTACTTTCAAGCACCTCGAGAGCAAGGTACATGCACATAGTTGCTTGTGTAGACTGGACTATACACCCTGTAAAGCCAGTCAAGGTCACATTAATAAAGCATCCTCAGCAACTACAGTGCCTGAAGTGTGCAGCCTTTACAGACCACTCAATATGAGGGCATTATTATAACCAGCCTCTTTTGCCCACAACCCTGCATTTTCAGATAAGACAGGATAATTGTTTTGTTTTGAGAAAACCGAAGCTTGAATCTCTTAAAAGACCTGCAATTTACTGCAAAGTGATCCAGAGGTAACAAAGGAAGCAGGAGGTTAATGGCTGCCTGCACCAAAAGCCTCTCAATCACTTTGCAGTAAATAATTATGGAAAGTGACATGACAAGTAGCCATGTGCATCACAGCCACAGTCATTTGTACCACCTACATGCCTCCGACTGATACATAGGGTGTCTGGGTTTTTGGTTTGCTTTTGTTTGGTTTTTGGTGCCACACAGATGTTTTGTTTTGTGCAGCATATGCACTGAAGAATTTGCTGACAAGAACTCCTGTTCCACTTGCAAAATGATGTGTAGGGACAATAGAAACCAGAAAATTGTGGTAGAGTCTCTGCATAGATTTTTTTTTTTCCTCTTTTTGATTCTATTCTTAAAAACACATTTCTGTATACAGTAGTTTGACAAAAAATTTAGCATTGATTTGAAATGGAGTTTTAGTTCCCTACTTCTCTGGAATGTAACTATTTTCATTAGCTGGGATATTTGCCAAATTTAAAAAGAAAAAAAAAAATACAACTCTAAATCGTTCACAGTAGCACTTAGAAAACAAAACAGGAAAGTTGGTTGTTTCCCATAATTTGTACAATGCCATTTTCTGACAGAAATGAACAAAGACCAATTCCTTTAACAAGCTAACATTTAAGAATGAATCTCCATGCAGATTTCTATTGTCCCTAGTCACTGGAATGAGGATCAGAGAAATGCTACAATTAATCCACATCCTTCTGCAGTATTCCTACAGTGGGAAGAGAGGCCATGAACCACCCCCTGCAGGAGAAATAAACCTTAGAGATTGGTTAAGACTTAAAAACCCACCACTATGATATTTACCACTTAATCTTACAAAGGCAGGTCAAAATTTTAATATAAATTACTTTTGCCAACACATAGCTTATGCATTCTTAGCTCCTTTTTTTGGAGGATTCTCAAATTGTTATCTAAAGATTTACATATGATATATTACTGTTATATGGTCTAATGACTAAGAAAATGTCTCTGGTAACCAAAGCTGATGCCATATATGGTAGTGTTCTTGGCATATACTCTATATGCCTCAGACCACTTCCACATTCTTTCTATTCAGCTAATTATAGCTTAGTAGCCACTGGTGAAGGATTGTGAAGACCCTGTCATTTCTACAGAATAGAAAGGCAAGGCTAGTTACTGCAATTCAGCCAAATAAAAAGAAAGAAAAATAAACCAACCCCTTGAAAAGGAGAGGTACTGCACCTTTGCAAAATTGAACTGGCTCACTGCAGCTGAGCAACAGAACCACCACTGAAGCAAGAAAACAAGTTGGTCTATACAGGAATCGTACAGGATTTGAAAACGAAAGAGGTACAGCAATCAACTACTAATAGCTGCGACCTTAATTTTCATTGCTGCCTCAGTTGGAAACTTAGAAACAGTTTCTGCAAACCTAATGCTAGCTTCTCAGTTCCTTTACTAAAAGTAGGAATTTGTTCTCCGCAGCAAAGAAATAAACACTCAAAACACATAGGTAAATACAGCAGGACATTATTGAAAACAGCTGCCTTGTAGTACAAAATACAGTACAAGTATACGGATGTCATTAAAACATCAAAAATACTATTGCTCCCATACAATTTAGGAAACATTCTTTGCAACGGAGAAAAATTTTAAAGAAAAGCTTTAAAAAAAAACTTGTTTAAAAATTCTACTGTGGATGATGAGTAGAGAAATAGTCTAAGGGCACCAATGTGTGTGGCTCTTCCATTTTTAGATCTAAGATCAAGAAGATTCTGAATCAGTCTATTTTTTTAAAAAGCCTAATTTTATATACACAAATATTTCCCTCCCTCTCAGCCACAAATACACGAAAATGACCTTTTTGTATATTACTTATTTCCCAATAAATACAAAAAGATTGTATAGATTGAATAATACCAAAATAAGATAATAAAAAGGATATGCAATAAATTAAAAAGGCAGCTCAAATAAAGGGCAGGCATGCAGTTAAAAAAAATACTAAGATCGTGGAGGTGGGGTTACTTGCCTCCCGGTTGAGAAGGTGTCACACAGATGCCTGAAAACTTTGGAAAGAACATTTAGCTCCCATTCAATTCAAAGTTACCTAGGTCTATGACATTTCTAGGAATACCTTTTGATGGGGTGGGATTAACTTGATTAGTAAAAATCATTTCTACTGAAAATCCATTTAAAATATAGAAGAGGCGATCCTTGAAAACCCCAACTTTTATTCTTGAAAGACAGCTGGATGAACTGGCAAATGCCAGTTTGTTGAAATTTCAAGATGGTATAAAAATGCTTCCAGGATATAGTCAGCATTCGCGCTCACTTAAGTTCCATTCACAGATGTATTCAGCTTCCCCCGGGTGCACTGCTTGAATCACTCATCCATCATTTGCCAACTTTGATTGTGAGGTACTGAATACAATGGATCAAGTTCTTAGAAATTTTTAAAATAAATGATGCTGGAATTCTGGACCTGAGGATCTTTAGTGTTTGAATAAATCCACAGATGAAACTGAAGGTAAATTAAGACTTCAGTTCTGGCTATTTCCAACTTCTCTGTGAGGATGTATATTCCATTAAAGCTCAGGCTTTTAGCCACACTGTTCCTTTTTGCAGATAGTCAAGTTTTAAGGTTTAAAATGCAGCCAACCAGTGGCCGTAACAGCCGAATTAGCCGTAATTCATCGGCTCATACAGTGGAGCCACAGGGATCGGCTCACTCATACCTAAGCCATTTCTTGGTAATGACCTCCACACTTAGAGATCGAAGGAAGAACTTTAGTGAGCAGCAACTAATCCACTCAAACAGTCCGCCTTGTGCTTTATGCCTGACTTCTTGTGCCTACCTCAGCAATCCCCATTGTAAAATTGCTTTTCTTTTTGAAAAAAACTTTTGTCAATTTTTAAACGATTTGAGTAATGGATTCTAGTTCAAGCTTTGATATCTGAATTCATTTGCATCCCGGAAAACAATTCTGTAAAGAAAAGACAGGGGCCTTGATCCAGGTTCCATGCAAAACCATTTTTTAAAAATGGATCCAATTTGTTTCTGAATTCTCCGATGTCTTCTTGAATTCTTATTTTGCCCTGTCCATGATTGTGTCAAGTTGCATTCCCTTTCATAAACCTTTACCCTCAGAACTGGGTAACTGCAAAGGCCTCTTTCTTCTCAAGGATTCCATTCAGACCTAGATCCAAAATGCTGATTTCAATGGAGGTGAAGGGATAGATGCTGCAACGGAGAGGCCTGGAGAGATCAGAATACCAGCTTACCCAGGTCTACAACACAAACTCAATTATTATCAATAGATGAGTCTGGGTAATTCAGAAGTGGTTTTTGTCCCAGACGTTCGAAGATCTATCCCCTCCAGGGTTATCCTGATGAATTTACAAACCTCGGTTGGGAAACAGAAGCTGAGACTCTTTCGCAGATGAGAAGACGCTGCTGTCCTCTTTGCAGGTTGCTGGCAGTTCCTTGGAACTTTACTGCTTTTCTCTAATTGTCTGTGACTGTTTCTTATGGTTATTCCTCTTAACTATATTATTTTTTTATTTTCGCCCTCGGCGGCCTCCCCTGCTCCCTCTTCACTAGCTCACTGGGGACGAGTAGGAAGGGGAACTCTCTAGCCAAAGGGGTGGTGGTAGGGTGAGGGAGGCCGGCACGGGAAGCTGCCCTTCAATCTTCGTCCACTTCCTCCCCCTCCGACTCCTCGCCGCCGCCGCTGCCTCCACCTCGGCGCTCATAAAGCTTATCCCTCTGTCGCTCCTGGATTTCTTTCATCTCATCTGCATACCGGCAGAAGGCGCCTCCAAACTTGCCCCAGGCCTTGAAGGGCACGGTGATGGCATTGCGGTAGGACGGCTTCACCTCGCTCACTCGCAGGAACACCCCATACTTGTTGCAGCCCACGTCGAAGAAGAAGCGCTTGGAGTCCACCGTGATGGAGGTGCCCTCCGGGAGCTCTCCATACAGGCCGCCCCCGGGGCCGCCGGCGCTGCCTCCCGGGCCGCCCGCCAGCTCGTCGTCTTCGCCTCCGTAGTCGTCGATGAGCTTGGCGAGCGCGTCGCGGAACTCGATGAGGCCCTGCGCGGGCAGCGCGATGGTCTGGCCGCTCTGCAGGCCGCCGGGCCCGGGGCCGCCGCCGAAGCCGCCGCGGTTGACTGTCTGGCGGATGCGCAGGAAGCGGCCGCGCTGGTTCTCCTTGAGGTCCAGGTAGTATTTGCGGTTCTCGCGCACCAGGAACTCGCTCTTGAGCGCGCGCCGCGGCCCGCCGCCCTCCTCGGCGCCCGCCGCCAGCTGCTCGGGGCTGCTGGGGCCCAGCTGCGCGTAGTGCTCGATGAAGTCGCCCAGCGAGTCGCGGAACTCGGCGGCCACCGCCATGGATAGCGTGAGGCGGCTCTTGGAGCCACCCGCGCCCACCTCGGCAATCTTGAGGAAGCGGCCCTTGGCGTTCTGCTTCACGTCTAGGTAAAAGCGCTTGTTCTGGATGTCCAGCCGCTTCGAGGCCAGCTCCTGCGTCTCCTGCTCGCCACCGCCGCCGCCGCCGCCGCCACCGCGGGGCGCGGGCTGGAAGCCGCCGGGCCCGCCGCCGC